AAATCATAGCAGGTCATTCAATTCACAATTGATATGACACATGTAGGTGATGGACTTAACCTTTATGATTAATCCATACCTTAATCCAAATTAGGTAGAACTTAGTGTTTGAACTAGTCCATACCTAGTATGTCACCGTCCCATACCAGAACATACAATCTTCCAGTGAACATAGTTGACAAAACAATATTAAATAGTCATCAACCACACTCCAGAATATGCACAAGATAAATTTAATTCATGTACATAAATATTAGGCATTCATTATAGAGCCCAAAATCCAAATCCAATAATGTAAATTACTACAATAAATTTAAGCAATCACATTCACCAACATAGTCCAGGAATTGATACCGTTAATAGGATTTTAAGCATCAGTTACATCCAAGCTAAGCATAGGAAATTTTAGTTAATTCACTATACTTATAATACTATAGAAATATGATTATATTTATAGTTAAACCATATATAACAATCTTGCTAAGCTCTAGTATATAAACCTAGCAGATCCTCCGACATTGTCCATGAATTGATACAATTTCATAACAATTTAAGTACCAATAAATACAATCTAAGTATAGTTGAGTTTAATTAAGTCACCATACTTAAAACACTGTAAGAAAAATATATGATTATATATAATTAGATTATATATAAAACTCTTGCCAAATTTCAGTAATTAAAAATTAGCATAATAGTGAGCAAGCTATAAATTTCCTCTTGGGTTTTGCTTGCTCTATTCCTTAATCCAATTGTGAATTTATATTTTTTCATCATAATTCAGCCTTATACAGTCCCACAATTTGAAATGTAGTGCCAAACACCGGCCTTGGGTAGAACTGTTGGCCTTAGTGTTCCTTGGAAGAGTTCCCTTACATCCTCTTCTGTAAGAGTTCTCCTCATGGTGGCCTTCCTTGGACGGCCTTTGCTATCCTTTCCAATAAATCTGATTAGAACAAATTCTTCGCCATATAGTTCGGCATCTGCGTGGTAGACCCTTGCCACAAATGGCCGGTTATCAGCCTCCACCAATTTTACCTCATCTCCATCCTAAAATATTCGCATTTGATGGAGTGAAGATGGAATGCAAAAGTTTGGGTGAATCCATGCACGGCCTAAAAGCAAATTATAAGCCGTTGTAGACTCAATAACAAAGAAGGCTATGATGGAAGTTCTATCTCCCACCGTTAATTCCAACGGTAGGATTCCTTGCGTCTTCACTATTCCTCCTATGAATCCACTAATGGATATATTAGTTGGAATGATGTCTTCAGGTGACTTTCCAAGCATGCGCATGACATTAACTGGAACAACGTTCAGTACTGAACCATTATCCACTAGAACTCTTGTCAGGGGCCTTCTTTCCACCAGTACTTTTATGTACAAAGATTTGAGCTACTGAGTCATGCCATATGGTGGCTTTTCCAACACAACTTTCTTTAGCCTCGTGGGGCTGTTCTCTTCAATCACAACCCCCTTGAATTTCTAAAGATGCTCAGCTTCATCTTCAAAGACCTCTTCTATATGAATACCATTATTTGGTTTTATAATGGTTGGCCCAAAACTAGGTTGTCCAAGGCTTTCCATGGGAGGACTTGTATCTACCACATCTCCTTCCATTGAATTAGGTTGATTTGGCTGTGGCTCAAAAAACAAGGGAAGAGCCATTACCATATTGTAAGTAAATTCACCTAGAAGGCTCCCAAAACAGATTTTCTTGCTGCTACTGGAATTGTTGGGAATTTCCAAATCTGTTTTATCTTTTGTAGGAAGATTGTCTATAGTCAAAGGATTTCCAACCTCTGAAACAAGATCCAATAAATCATCAGGATCTCTAACCCCTCCTTTAGCTGGAAGTTCAGACAAGTCTGATAGCTTAGTAATCTTCTTTGACCAATTAGTCCAACCATGGTCTTGCTCCTATAATTTCCTTCTATCAGCCCTCTTCCTTTGTTGCCTTCGCTTTTGTGTGCGAGTCATATAAGAGTCATCATGAATGGGAAACTTGGGATGATTAAGCCTTCTCCACCCTTCATCTTGTGAGGTAGGAGGTCTAACCATTCTTGGTCGGAAATGCTCACTCCCCCATGGGCGGAGCCCTTTATGGGCTAACCTGGGCTGCAGCCTAGGTCCAAAAAATTTTTTTTTTTTTATTACTACTACTTCCTCCCAGCTATAGCCCAACCTAAGTTGCCCAATCCATGGTAAATGGCCCAGCCCACTAGCCCAGCAAACCAAAACTAATCCTCGAAGAAGACCTAAGTACCTAACTATTCAAGGCAAATACAAATTCTGGAAACATATGCACGCTTAGCTAAGACTCTTTATTGGGTATTTGGGTGGAATGAAACACCAGTACAGAGGATGATGTTGAAGGCTAAACAAGAACCTAAATCCCATGATTTACCCACTTGAGTGAGCCCTTACTATGTGCTCAAATTTAAATTGTTAATGCATCTATATACATTTATATATATATATTTATATGAATTTGTATATGAAATTGTGCATATTAAATCTATCTTTCAAATATATATATATATATGTGTGTGTGTGTGTGTATTAATATTTGCATACTTTAATCTAGGGTTTCAAGTACTTTAATTTAGGGTTTCATGATTCAATAGCATGATTCATTTGCAAATGCATTTGTGTAGTTTGAAATTTGAATGCTCTGTTAGTGTTGGTTTTACTTATTTATTTATTTATTAGTATTATTATTATTTATTTATTTTTATCAAATCTAGGATTTGTTCTTGGAAAATGGAGGATTTAGTAATTAATAATTTAATACCAAGTATGCATAACACTTATTTATTTGTGTTGTTTGTTGGGTCTCTGAGTGGGGCTGTTGGGTTCAAGCTAAAAGTAAGATACATGAGGCAAGTTATTGAAAAATATGTTTACTGACTTAAAAGGAATATGTTGGAACGAATGCAAAGCAAGATATGAAAAATTCTATTTACAATAATGAATATGTATAACACAATTGACTATTCTATTTCCTTGGACTGGCAGATACCAGTAAGGCAGACACCAGCTAGATCCTCTTTATATAATTAAAGCCGGAGAAGGAGATATATAATCTATTCAATGGCATGGAAAAAAAAAAAAAAAATCTTTTACAAATTTATTTGTGTTGTTTGTTGGGTCTCTGAGTGTTATGTAGTTTGTGTAGAAAACTAAATAATAAAAAAAAAGGAAGTAAATGGGTTTGAGTTTTTATTTGTGTAGTTTGAATGCTCTTTGGTTGTCTTAGTCAATGATGAATAGAAAATTAAATAATAAAATAAAAAAAGAAAGTAAATGGGTTTTTGAAGAAAGTAAATGGGTTCGAGTTTTTATCACACATGTATAGTATATTTATTGAAATTCATTTTTGTAGTGGCCATGATACAGGCTCCAGCGGGGAGCGAGGGATGGTGGAAACTGGAAACTACTCTTCCTCTGCATCTTCATCTCAACACACGCCACGCGGTGGAAGTTCCATTTATAAATTAATTTTCATCATTCTAGTTCTGGTGTGCTTTGTAGGAGTGATGCATAGTTGGTTTTCATTTTCTTTCTAATAACAGAAATTAATTTCAAGCAAAATAAAAACCCCTTTTTAAGTTTTTATTTACCAAAAAAAAAAAAAAAAAAAAAAAATCCCTTTTCTATTGTTGATGTGTTTGAAGTTTTGTTCTCTTCTGTTTTTGTTTAACATTTTTATCTCTCACCATCTATATAAATGAGTCTAGCATTGTATGACATTGTTTTGAAACTCCTTAATTTATTTGAATATACTGTAAACATAACTTTTTCCTGTAAATAAAGTTTGTATATATAACTTTGTTCACATATATTTGTTTGTTTGTATGTGTGTGTGCAAGAGTGAGTTGATCGAAATAAAATTTCAATAAAAGTTTCTCATTTCTTTGACAATACACATACCTTAATATATATATATATTTTCTTTTTCCTGCTATCAGCTCTATAGGTGATAGGCAATTAGGCATGCCCTTTATTTTTGTTTGTTGAAGCACTACAAGATAGGAATTTTCCACCCTCAAGATGAAAAATTTCTTTTCGTTTTATAAACGGAAAGATGATAAATCAGAAATTGGGGTAGCTTCTACGAGTACGAGTACCTGTCCTAAGACTACAATCTCTAATGAGCAGCAACAAGAGCCTCCTTAAAAAATTCCAAGAGTTGCGCAGACGGAGGTTGATAATATGTCTTTTATACGAGATCCTGGTTTGCGTCTTCAAATATGGAAACACCCCGTTAATGAACGTGATGAGCATCGACGAAATTATATCTTAAGGGGACCGTATCAACCAAATCTTCATGTGTTTCCTTCCACTCAAGATAGAACTCAATCTCGTCGATTTCAAAGTAATTGGTATAAAAAATTCACTTGGATTGAGTATTCTCCTGAGAAAAATAAAGCATATTGTTTGCCATGTTTTCTCTTTGAAACTAATCCACCATCTCGTCTTGCTTTTACTATCGAGGGGTTTAATAATTGGAAAAGGGTTAATGATAGACCTAGGTGTGCTTTTTTGCAACATGTGGGAGGTCCTAATTCATTTCACTTGTGTGCCGTAAGAGCTTCAGATGCTTTAATGAATCCTTTGCAAAATATTGCAGAGTGTTGAATGTATCATCTAGAGATATGGTGGAAAAGAATCGATTACGCCTTAAGACAACAATTGAAAGTGTTCGGTGGCTTGCATTCCAAACATGTGCATTTAGAGGTCACGATGAATCCGTTGAATCTTTAAATCGTGGCAACTTTATTGAATTCATAAAGCATTCAGCAAAGTTAAATGATAAAGTTGCTGAAGTTGTCTTAGAGAATGCACCAAAAAATTCAAAGTACCTCTCGCCAATGGTTCAAAAAGAGGTTTTACATTTTCTTGGCAATAGGGTGAGACGTAAGATTCGTCAAGAAGTTGGGGATGCAAAATTTTGTATTTTAGTTGATTAAGCACAAGATTTGTCTAATACAGAGCAAATGGCCATTGTATTGAGATTTATTGATAAGAATGGTTTGCTTAAAGAACGATTTTTTGGAGTTGTAGGCGTTAAAGACACCACTGCCTTAACTCTTAAAAAAGAAATATCAGATGTCCTTACTCTTTATGATCTCCAAATTGATAATATGCGAGGCCAAGGGTATGATGGAGTGAGCAATATGCGTGGGGTGTGGAGTGGATTACAAGCGTTGTTTCTTAAAGAATGTCCATATGCATATTATGTACACTGCTTTACTCACCAACTACAACTAACATTAGTTGCTGCATCCAAAGATGTGCAAGATATATGGCTATTCTTTTCAAAGTTGAATTCTATTATCAATCTTGTCAGTGCTTCTCTTAAGCGTCATAGCGAGTTACAATCTGCTCAAGTGATTTTATCTACTAATAAGTTGGCTACTGGTGAACTTGAGAGTGGTAAAGGAGCTAATTAGATTAAAACTTTGCAACGAGCAGGTGCCACTCGATGGAGCTCTCATTTTGGTTCTGTTAGTAGCTTGATAGACTTATTTGGTCCATCACGTGTAATTATTGAAAATCTTTCAAAGAATGGACCAACTAATTCTATATGTGGGGAAGCAAAAGGAGTTTATCTTGCAATGCTTTCATTTGAATTTGTATTTATCTTGCATTTGTTGCGTGAGATGATGGGAATTACTGATATACTTTGTCAAGCATTGCAATGAAAAACTCAAGACATTGTAAATGCTATGAACCTAGTTTCAAGTACGAATACACTCCTTCAAAATTTGAGAGAAAATGGGTTGGCATACTTTCTTTCAAAATGTGGAATCATTTTGTAAAGAACATAACATTGTAGTACCTGATATGAGTGCTTCTTATATGGTGGGTACAGGTCGTTCTTGTCAACAAAAAGATAGTATTACATTTAATCATCACTATCAAGTTGATATTTTCAATGCTGCTGTAGATTTTCAATTGATGGAGTTAAATCAGAGATTCTCTGAAAATACAGTGGAACTCCTTATTCTTGGCACAGCTTTGGATCCTAAAGATGCTTATAAATCATTTAAAGTTGATGATATTTGCGATCTTGCAGGGAAATTTTATCCTAAGGATTTTTAAGATAAGATGCATGCTTTGAAAAGGCAGTTGGAGCTTTATAAGATTGATGTACTCCATCATCTGAGTTTTCAGAATTTGTCCACCATTTCTGATTTATGCAAAATGCTAGCTAAAACAAGAAAGAGAGAAACTTATTATCTGATTGATAGATTGATTCATCTCATATTGACTCTTCCTGTTTCTACAGCAACAACAGAACGAGCTTTTTCGACAATGAAACGTGTCAAAACTAAACTTCGCAACAAGATGGTTGATGAATTTCTTGCAGATTGCATGATTCTCAACATTGAAAGAGAACTTGCTGAAGATGTTGATATAGATTCGGTAGTTAATGAATTTGACACTCTTAAATATTGGAGGGTTCATCTTCAATAACTTAGGTTCATCTTCAGTAGGTTACTTGCTGCATATGATGTAGTTGATTTGATATATGAGAACATCATTGTTTTTTTTTTTCTTTTTTTTTTTTTTTTTTTTTTTTCTTAAATATATATAACATATTTTTGTCATGAGAATTATTGTGCTCTTCAAATTTTTTTTTTATCTTTAGCCTTGTCTACTTTGGAATCTTGGCTCCGCCCCTGCACTCCCCCTTCTAACCCATACCTCCGAGGCCATTTTTGGCCTGGAATACCTGTCACCTTCAGAACCTCTGTCTTGTCATCTACTTCTTTCAAACTTTCTGCTAGGACGAGGCCCTGCCTGATAGGAAATTCTATTCCTTTCCATACTCCTTGGAAGGAATTCTGGTTTCCTTGTTGCTGCCTATCTTTCTGTATGGACCCGGCTTTCCTTCTTTGGAATGGTTACAGTAACTGTGTTTTCCACCTTTTGGAAAGTCAGTCGATCATGGACCTTCCTTTTTTAGCCTCGGTCATCATTGGACAGCTTCTCCTTTGGAACATCTCTATGACAGCCTTCATTCTGAATTTTACACTTAGGGCAACAACCTTGCTAGATTAAAGCTAATTGAGCCTCACGGAGTTACTTTTCCAACTCGGCCACCGTTTTCTCCAAGGATACTACAGCTTCAGGACTTTCAAGTTTTCCACTAGCTCTTGAATCTGCCAAGTCCACCTTCTTCTTAGGGTGTTCCGCGGTAAGGGAAGTAACGTTCAATGCAACAACCTTGGGGAAAGGATTTTCATCAACACCCATGACTTCTATTTTTTTTGGAAACTTCAACCTGCCATCTTCAATCGCCTTTTGCACTATGTTATGGAAAATCACACAATTATTAGTGGAATGCCTCCATGAATTGTGAAATTTGCAATACTCTTTCTCGGCCATTTTTTAGGCCGATGGCATATTATGGCCTGTTGTGAAAATCAGTTGCTTGTCAACCATGAACAAATCAAAAATTTGCTCGGCTTTAGAGATTTCAAAAGAATAACTTTTGGAAGGGTCTGATCCCTTCCACTTGGAACCAGAAGCGGCCTGCAAGTTGGCTATGGCTGATTTCGATTTTGTCAAGGCCTCACAAGTATAAGCCTTTTTTATGTTGAGCTCAGTTACATTTATTTCAAACTCCCCTTCAGTTTCATTGGTATATACCTCATAATTAGGATCACGATAGTAAGTGCCCTTGGAAGAACTCTTCCGGTCTTGTGATCGGTTGATCAACTAAACATCAACCTTCGCAATAGCACGAATCATTGTAAAATAGGGCTATTGGTCGGGTAAGTTGAACCACTGGGACTGCGCTGATCTATGGCAACCTAAGTGTCTAGAGTCATTTTAGAGTGATAAGGGATGTTCATAGAGGGTTTGTTTTGTTTGTCACTAAACTACAAATTCAGAATGCATAAAACAATAAATTGAAGGAGATTAAAAGAGAAGATTTAGAGAAGGAAGTCTAGGGAAGTGAGTCCACTCCAAACCTCTACACAAGCTAATTATATGATTAATTTGGGGAATTAATGTAGAAATGACCTTGATATATAATAATACATGACTACTATAATATCTTCAAGAAATTCAATTAATTAAAGAGTAAGAACAACCTATCAAAGCTTCACATGGTTGAGTTACCTAAACTAAGATGCAACCCTAGACATGCTCACTAAGCTAGAGATTGTCAAACAATTAATCAATTGGTGGAAGCACATGATATCAAGTCATAAGATTAACTCATCAAAAGAAATTCTTAAGCTATGGATTAACAAGCTACTCAAAACCATGCCATTAAAACCGTTCCATAATCTTAGTTCCATTGCCACTATGAAACTATAAGTCATACAACTATGAGATTAAATAATCTAAGACAAGAGTATGTAAATCAACATAGTCATTCAAACATTCAAAATCTTCATTACAATTTGTAACATGCTCTAGACTATGAAACTAGCCAAATATACATTTCATTCCCCAAAATAAATCAAAAACTAGACATGCTTACAAGGTAGAGCTTCATCACCTCCCTAGATGGAGGTTTAGTTACCCATTGATGCACTAGAGGAAGGAGGAAGCAAAGCCTTGACCTCCATTTTCGAGCTCCCCTCTTCTAGCTCCAAGAACACACCTTTCTTGCTCTCTTCTCTCTCCTCTATCTTGCAAAAATTCAAGGATATGAAATGTGTGGCCTTTGGTTGCCTTTTGTCCTCCAACAAAACCCTCTCTCTCCTCCAAGGAACACCTCCAACCACTTCATAAAGAAGGAAGATGGCATTGAGGAAACCAATGTGCAAGTGGCTGAAATTGAGCCATTTCCGAGTGCAATCTGCCTGATTTTCGAGCACTCGAAGAGTGGTCTCGAGCACTCTAAATTAGTGTAATGTGCAACATGCTCTTCTTGCTCAGCACTGACCTACTTTGGTAAAACTACTATAACTTTGTTCCCCGAACTCTGAATGATGATCTGTTTGAAGATTTAGAGAGCTGATTCAGTGCTTTAAAAACTTCATGTTTTGATGAAGACCCAATTCTCAAGTCTGGTTGGTCGAAAATGGGGAGAAAGGCAGTACTTCAGTGCTGCCAGGCAGTTCTGCGCACCTCTGTTAAGAAGATTATAACTCTCTGCTCCAAACTCCGAATGATGAACTGCTTGAAGATTTGGAAAGCTGATTCAGAGCTCTAAATCTTTTATGTTATTATGGAAGTCCAGTTCTTGAGTTTGCTAGGTCGAAAATGGCAACAAAAGTCAGGTTCTACTGCTGCCAGAAATTCTGAATTGGCACCCTTTTTGTTCAAAATTCCACAAGGCATCATTTTTGCTTCCTTTTTGCACTTTAACCTGAAAATGCACAAAAACATACAAATGGAGTTAATCTACATAAAATAATCAATTAATGGACTTTGTTAATGTAATTTAGGGCGCTTGAATATACAGTATTTAGCGCTTATCACACCCCCAAACTTACATTTTGCTAGTCCCTTAGCAAAACCAAAATGCAAAGCTCAATGGAATGAAAACATGGGAATGTTGTTACAAAAATATTCACCATGGCAAAAATAAACATAAACATAGCTCAAATACAACTTGAAACAGATAAAGAGCTGGAGACGGGATCATTGGGAAGACTACCTTGCATATATGAAGCATTGATACAAAAATTGGGAAAAACCATTTCAACATGCATGCATCAACATCATAGTCCATATAAATAATTCAATTGTCATCTCTTAAATGGAAATAACTCAAACTCCAGTGAAAGTGAATTGAATTCTCAACATGCGGCTTTTACTTTCTTTTCCAATTCCAAAGCATAAGTTTTCAAATCATTGAATTCCCCTTTAAATGAGGTCCTTAAGGCATGATTTTATTTATAAGACAACTTTTATTGCTTGTTGACAATTTATTGTAACTCATTAGCGAAACAAGAATGGTTGTGCAATGCTAAAGTCCCTTAAGCTTTCTAACCAACCTATGTAGCAAGTGTTAGGCCAACAACTCCCAAACCAGATGGCTTTAGGGTGTTAAGTGTAGAGACACTCCAAAGGGCTTAATAGCTCAAGTTGGAAAGGCTACGAACTCTAGCGAACCATGTTTATTACAATTTTTTTTGAATGACCGTGCAATGTTTAAGTCCTTTAAGATTTCTAACCAACCCTTGTAGTAAGCGTTAGGCCAACAACTCCCAAACCAGACGGCTTTAGGGTGCTAAGTGTAGAGACACTCCTAGGGCTTAATAGCTCGAGTTGGAAAGGCTACGAACGTCAACTGGTCATTTTTTTTTTCTTTCTTTCTCATTTTTTTTTTTTTTTAAGTCCAACTTAAATCATGCCAAAGATATTCATCTATCAGGTTCATCAAATCAGATTAACTTGGCCAAGGTCAAGGTTGATCAAGTTGCATGCCTCACAGTTAAGTTTCCAATGTGCGTCTGTGCATTGTGAAGCTTATAAGAGTATAAATCCAGCAAGAATCTAATTGAGGCATTTATACAGACTACATTGTATTTGCATGATCACTTCAATTTCAAATTTCTTTATTTTCAAAAATTTCTCAATTGCTTCTATACACAAGGTATTAAACATATGCTTTGTCTCCGACAAGTTCAAAGTTACACTATCATTGCTTTTCAAAAATATGATACCAAAACTATGCCAAGAATGCTTTGATGCACCCCCAAACTTAAACTACACAGTGTCCTCAATGTGGGACATGGATGTAAGTTAGAGACAAAAATGACAAAGAGTATAAAAAGGAACAAAAATACCCAGGGGGACGAAACGGCATGGGGAGACAAAACCCCCAAACTTGAATTGGACTGCGCAACCTGGAGAGTATCACGAAGAACAAAAAGAAACAACCACAAAAAGCATTAATAGCACAAGCATAAATATAGAAAAATAATGTACATAAAGTTAACAGAAAAGAGAGAATTTGCATTTCAAAAAGAGTTTTTACATGATTACAAAAGAGCTGTACATAGATCAAGTCTACTAGAGCAACTTATACATAGCAAATTCCGGAAGTTCAGAAGGAAAACAAAAGATACAAGAGAAATATGTACATATGAAACAAAAAGAGAAGGTCCAACACTCGCAACAAGCTACGGTCCGGAGGATAAATGGGCAAGGATGGAATGGAGGAGAGATTGAGCCTTACGCCGTTCGGCGGAAGCCAAACGACGTTCCTCAGCTGCGACACGGCGGTCTTCAGCAGTAAGACGACGATCTTCTTCAGCACGTGAAGAAGTCTCACACATAGTCCGAGTGTATGCGGACAAAGTATTCTCAAAACGATCCATCCGCTCATGAATACCGGCAATGCTAGCCCGGATGAAAGCCTGGTCCTGCCGAGAGTCGACCGGATGCTCTATCCTTGCAGCGGCTGCTGCTGTGGAAGCATCCTCAGAAGGAGGAGGAGGTGGAGCTTGGATGAACAGGGGGGCAGCAGGCTGAGGGGTACTAGAATGGCTAAGAACATTGATCCAACGGCGCTTGGTAAAAATTTTAATCTTTTCGCCTTTTGGTTGATGGGGAGGAACAATGAAACCCTTGTGCTGAAGGAGCCGAGTGATGAAAAACGGCAAAGGCAATTTCCGATTTTCAACTTGCGGAACCCGTGCATTATGAGCGTCATGCCAAAACTTCATAAATGTGGTCCAAATGAGCTCCGGGATGGAGAACCATTGGCCTTGGTCCATGGCATATAAGGCTTGCAAAAGGAGGCCCCTACGCTCGGTACTATGCACCAAAGGGCAGACATTATGCTTGAAAACAGTGTCAATGAACCAGAGGCGTTCCGGAAGATTGGTTTTACGGATAAAAGACCGGGGCCTATTGGGATCGTCAACAGTGCAAATGGTAGCGGCAATCTGCTCCACAGTTAATGTATCCGGCTCCTCATATAAAGGGAGATTCTCACGATTGACAATGTCATCGGGGCACTCAATGGGGCAACCAGAAACCTGAATGATGTCAGTCATAGTGAAAGCATAGGTGGTGCCATCAATGGATGTAGTGAGAGAAATGGGTGGTTCTTCAGGGCATTGGAGATTCTAGTAGAAGAGGCGCACTACACGGGGGTAGGCAACCCTGGCAAGGGGCGCGCAAATGTGCTGCAGACGCCGATTAGTCAATTCGGCTACAGCCTACGAAGTTGTGGGTAGAATATCAAAGGCATCCATGAGCGGAAAAGAAAGCTCGTAGTTGAGTTGTTTGCGATCCCAAGGATCACGTGGTCGCTCACGATTGACAGCACGGGCACCCGCAGAGGGTCTAGGAGGGCGAGAATGACTGGCACGAGACATTTAGAGAGGTGGACTTGGTTGAGGAATTTTGGTGAACACCTGGCGTGCACCACAAAAAGGAGAAGGTGAAAATGAGTGGGGTGGATGATGAAGCCCAAAAATTTTGTGCACAAACAAGGCTCTAGCATAGAGCAACATCAACAACAAGTAACACAGAACCAAACTCCAACATTACAAGCCCATCCTCCTTGTAAAACACCATGGATGAACAAAGGAAAAGAAAAACAAATGACAAGGTCACAGACCTGAATTTTAGTGTATCCGAGAGCAAGAAGGAAGGCAGGAAGAGGTTGATGGCAGGCATGGGTGTGCATGGGTTTATGGGTTTATAGGTTGCTTCATGGTGCATGGGTTTAGGGGTGGCATTGAGAGTGGGTTGATGGAGGGATGAAGAAGATGAGGGAAGGGTGTGAGATAGGTGTGTGA